CCGGAACGCGGCGGAACCGCGTTCCGGCACCTTTTTCCGGGCCGGCCGCACCGGAAATAGCCCCTCCCACACCGGAAATAGCCCCTCCCAAATTTTACTTGCATTCCTGTTCTCTAAAGGGGCGGTCCTAGGGTTTGATGAGGGCGTGGCCAGGTTTGAGTTCCGCCACCTTTTCTCCGAGAAAAAAAGCCCTGTTTAGGAGACTGGGCCAAAAGACACTGTCAAGGGACTGGTAACATACGAGAGAGCAGAGGCCACAACTGGAAAGAGGACAGGGCAAAAGGGTCAGAGGAGACTCTCCCTTGATTGTAAAGGAGACTTGAGGAGAGGGAGAGATGTACTTTCAGACTTCGAAGATTCTGGCAAAGTAGCTTTACAACAAAGTAGAATTAGATCTTCTGTTTCTGATTCCTACTTGGATTACGCTACAAGGCTGACAGTTCCAGACAGTTGTACACATACTATCAGTTCTGAAAACTTGATTAACTAGTCCCCACCCCCCATTTTATGTATTATTTTTTTCTCTTAATTGCTAAATATTAAGTTCATTGAATCAAATGAGCTCACTTAATTTTTTTCTTACACTGAACTATCACAGTAGTAACTAGATTAAAGTCACTTAAGCTTGTTTTGTTAAAGAATCAATATTCTTCTATTATGACAACAATTGAAAGATTGGGCTGGCATAAAACCAGACAGCTCCTTAATTTCAGTTGCACATGATTTGATTATGCAAGTATGCGTTTTGAATCTGCACAGAAAACACCACTTGGGAGGATTGCAGTAAGAGATTAAGTATTCCTCTGTTCAGATTAGTTTTCCTCTTTAATAAGGATCATCCCTGGTAGTGTTAAGCACTGCTAAGTGAACCCTCTAGTATGAAGATAGCAACTATTTTTATTTTAATTCTACTTTGTGAAAAATGGCATTAGCAAAACTAAAACCTACCTTGTGAACTTTTTAGGCCAATGTCAATGTCATAATTTGTTAGCCAATTGAAAGCTGTGATGACTCACAACATTTTATCTATATTCTAGATTCTGATGAATCACCAGTAGCAAGAGAACGGAATGTCATTGTGCATGCAAATCCAGACTTCTCTAATAACATCAACAGGAGATCAGCTACCCGAGACTCTGAGTGCCAAACAGAAGATATTCTCATTGCTGCCCCATCCCGCAGAAGAATACGAGCTCAGAGGGGTCAAAGCGCAGTAGCTTCACTGTCTCATTCAGCTGGCAACATATTGGTGCTGACAGATAATGGTGACTCTATGTTTACATTAATGAGCAATCGTGTTCGATCCAGGAGTCTTCCTCGTGAAGGTGCTAGAGCCAATGAAAAAGACCACAACAATGGTGCCGAAATTTCAGCATATGAGGCAGAACACTTTTTAACAAATCAAGAACGAATCTCCATAAAGAGTAAGGATGCCATTAATAACCATTGTTCACAGGAACACCATCCCAGGGGCTTAGCTTGTTCCCAGCATTTTCATAGTCCAGATCATAACTCAAATGAAAGAGGGAGGTCAAGGTTATCAAGGATGGTAGATTCTGGAAGTTGTGATATTTCTTCAAACTCTGATACTTTTGGAAGTCCAATTCACTCTATCTCCACAGCAGGGGTTCTTCTCAGCAGTCACATGGACCAGAAAGATGATCATCAATCATCTAGTGGAAACTGGAGTGGAAGTAGCTCAACATGTCCTTCCCAAACATCTGAAACAATTCCTCCTGCTGCTTCACCTCCACTGACAGGTTCTTCACACTGCGATTCAGAATTATCACTGAACATTGCCCCTAATGCTAATGAAGATTCAAGTATTTTCATAACTGAACACTATGGTGGACATAAAATTAGAGGTCACAGGACAAGTTCTTTCACTTCTGATCTGCTAGATGACCCTAATAATAGCAACACAAGTGATAGTGAGTGGAATTATTTGCATCATCATCATGATGCATCCTGCCATCAAGATTTCAGCCCTGAACATCCCAAGACTGATAGCCTGGGCTGCCCAAGTTTTGCAAGCATGGCCACTTATGACAGTTTTGTAGAGAGGACTCCATTGGACAAAGCAGAGACTAGCTCACATTTTTCAGTTGATACTGAAGGCTACTATACGTCCATGCACTTCGACTGTGGACTCAAAGGAAATAAAAGTTATGTTTGTAACTATGCAGCTGTGGGCTTGGAAAATGGTCAGAATACAAGTTTTGCTTCCAATCTCACTCACTGTAATTGGCAAGATTATATGGATCATAGGAAGCAAGGAAAAGCAAGCATCTCTCTAAAGAAACCAAAGATGAAGCCAGCCCCACCAAAACGCAGCTCATCTTTAAGGAAATTTGACAGTAGAACCGATATTTCAGAGAAGAAAGAACCAAAGATAACTAGTGGGCAGCAACATATGCCTCATACTTCCAGGGAAATGAAGCTGCCCCTCGAGTTTGCAAACACACCTTCAAGGGTAGAAAGTACTAGCCTGCCAAGTAAACTGAAACAGTCCTGGGATAATCAGGATGAGAATGACATAAAGGGCCTCCCATTTGATTCCATGGACATTGCATCATTTAAAGATGAAGATGCTGAACAATCTCACTATGCAGATCTCTGGCTTCTAAATGACTTGAAATCTAATGATCCCTATAGATCATTATCTAACTCAAGCACTGCTACGGGTACAACGGTCATAGAATGCATAAAGTCACCAGAAAGTTCTGAATCTCAAACATCACAGTCTGGCTCAAGAGCCACCACTCCTTCTCTTCCCTCTGTTGAGAATGAGTTTAAGTTGGCATCCCCAGAAAAACTGGCTGGTTTAGCTTCTCCTTCGAGTGGTTACTCCAGTCAGTCAGAAACTCCGACATCATCATTTCCAGCAGCATTTTTTTCTGGTCCCCTATCCCCTGGAGGGAGTAAAAGAAAGCCAAAAGTACCAGAAAGGAAATCCTCATTACAACAATCTTCTTCTAAAGATGGCAACATATTTTTAAACAAAGACTTAGAACTTCCAATTATACCTCCTACTCATCTTGACCTAAGTGCTCTTCATAATGTTTTGATTAAACCATATGCTCACAGACCCCAGCTGCATGCTTTTAATAATAATAAATCAAATATGGTAGAAGAAGCACTGAATTCTAATTCTTCACCAGCTCTTGCTATTACACCTTCAGTGCTAAAGTCAGTACATCTTCGATCAATTAATAAGCCTGAAGAAAGGAAACAGAAAGACAATCCAGATTTTCTACCCATTCAAGAATATAGTTTGGTAACTGCTATTTCTTCATGCAAAATGAAACCACGTGTAAGTAAGAAACAAGTGTCACATCAGTTCTTCATGGAAGATGCCATTGTGTCCTATATCAATCCCTCCCCAGTACAGATAAGCCCAGAACAACTACTAGGAGAAGATAATTTAACCTTTAGTGAAAGAAATACGTGTCAAGAGAATCTAACTTCATTAGTAGAGAGTGTTTTAGCAGCTAAGAGTATACCAGATCAAATACAATCAGTACATGGGATTTTGCTAGAGTGTACAACTAATAAAGCTTGCAGGGTTTCTGATGAACAATTTCCACAAGGCACAACAGTTTTTCCAAGCAATCTTGAAGGCAAAATTACTTGTGGATCAGAACAGAATAAGAGTTTTGACCCTGTGCAGTCTCTGTATGAATTACCTGCACACTGTGAACAAAAGTTGAAATATGAACCACTATGTGAAGATATTCCTTGGTCTGACTCCTTAACTTGGGGAGCAGATACTTGTTATCAGCTGAAGCATCAGTTTAATATAAACCAACTTGATGACAAAGTGCCTGAGAATATCAGTTATGAATCAGAGATCTCAAATATAGATTCACTCAGTGAAAAATGCTCTGAAAATGATATCATGTCAGGTATTCCAACCAAAAGTGCCTCAGATGACAGTGATAGCAGAGCAGCTGAGACACAAGGAACTACAGAAGATGATACCTTAAAAGGTTAGTTCTTAATTATTCCTACACTGCTAATGATAGCACTTACTGCTAGAAATAATGTTGCTACTTGATTGTATTAATGGATAATTTCCAGAATTCCATTAATTTCAGTGAAACCCTAACACAGTGATAGCGAACCTATGGCACGGGTGCCAGAGGCAGTACTCAGAGCCCTATCTGTGGGCATGCGCACCGTCGTCCCAGTCCTAGGTCTTCAGCTGGGTTTTATAAAACCTTTTTGCTTTAGGTCTCTGCCGCCGTGTGCAAAAAAAAAAGGTTCAATCAATCAATCAATTTCAACTTCTCGTGGGAAAAAAAAGATCTTGCAAAGTTGGAATTGATTGATTGAACTTTTTAGTCCCACCTAGTCTGCCGTTACCACCGCAGCCATGCCCACCCAATGGGCCACACCCACCCAATGGGCCACACCCACCGGGCACCCGACGATGCATAAGTGGGTTTTGGGTTGTAGTTTGGGCACTCGGTCTCTAAAAGGTTTGCCATCACTGCCCTAATATATTGCACTGATAAATGTATGATTATTTGAAGAAATATACAGCTAGTCCTTGACCTATGATCAAAGTTACCACAGGACTGAACAAATAGTCAGCCATCCCAACACCCCCATGGTCTCATGATCATGATATAGATGCTTGGTGAGTGATTCACACTCACCACCAGTGATTTACATTCACCACCAGTTTTGCAATACCTTGTGATCATGTGATTGCAATTTACAACCTTCCTTGCTGGCTTCTACAGAAAGTCCCCTAGACTCTTTGTGTTTGCACTGTGCTAGCCACTCATGCACCCTCCCTAACCTGTACTAACTCTCACATATTCTCGTGCACTCTGTTCAGTTCAAACTATGCCTCTCTCACACTCCCTCACACCTTTGTGCACCCCCAAATACGTGTTGCACCTCTCATGTACCCTCTCTGACCTGAAGCATGCTTTTCTAGACTCCCCTTGTTCTCTTCTTCACCAAGTAGCAGCCACTTACCTGCCTGCCGACATGGAACTTACAATTTCCTGCCATCTTCCCCACTGACTTTGGCTGTTGGAAGCCAGCAGGATGTTACCTTGCCTAACAACTGAGGGATTTGACTAACAATAGCAACTGGGACTGTGGGGACTGCTGTTGCTAAGCAATGCAGTTATACTTTATGATTGCATTGGTTAGTGATGGAAAATTCCACTTCTAAGTATTGTCATAAGCCAAGGACTATGTAAGGTCTCTGACTAGCTGGGATATACAATTTCTCTCCTACCCAGGGTAGCCCTTCCTGCATCAAACAAACGTTCTTGTGGTTAGAATAGAATAGAGCTGGAAAGGACCTTGGAGGTCTTCTAGTCCCCTGCTTGAGCAGGAGAACCTATACCATTTCAGACAAGTGACTGTCTAGTCTCTTCTTTAAAATCTCCAGTAATGGAGCACCCATGATTTCTGAAGGCAAGCTTTTCCACTGGTTAATTGTCTTCACTATTAGGAAGTTTCTCTTTAATTCCAGGTTGCTTCTCTCTTTGGTCAGTTTCCAACCATTGTTTCTTGTCTTGCCTTCTGGTACTTTGGAGAATAGTTTGACACCCTCTTCTTTGTGGCAGCCCCTCAAATACTGGAATTCTGCTATCATGTTGCCCTTGTTTCTTCTTTTCTTTAGACTAGCCAAACCCAAACCTGCAGCCATTCTTCATATGTTTTAGTCTCTAGGCCTTTGATCATTTTAGTTGCTCTTCTCTGAACTTTTTCCAAGGTCTCAACATCTTTTTTGTAGTATGGTGACCAAAATTGGTTGCAGTATTCCAGGTGTGGTCTTACTAGGGTTTATAAAGCAATACTAATACTTCATGTGATCTTGATTCTATGCCTCTGTTTATACAACCCAGGATTGTATTAGCTTTTTGGGCTGCTGCTGCACACTGCTGCTCATAGTCAAGTGATCGTCCACTAGGACTCCAAGGTCCCTCTCACAGTTGCTATTTTTGAGCCAGGTCTCGCCTAATCTGTACTTAAAGCTTTGATTTTTCCTGCCTAAATGTAAAACTTTGCTTTTCTCCACATTAAAACTCATTTTGTTGGATAGGGTCCATTGTTCAAGTTTGTCAAAATCCTTTTGGATTATGAGCTTGTCTTCAGAGGTGTTGGCTATTCCTGCCAGTTTAGCGTCATCTGCAAAAAATTTTAATAAGTGTTTTATTCATTTTCTATTATTACGAATCATACTTAGTAAACAACATGATGTCTGGGTACGTTTATTTCTCAATGTCGCATCATAATTTCTTCACTATAAATCTGTTCAATGCTGTACAATCAAGTGTGTTTTTCCCCTGATCCTCTCTTCTTCCATAGTATTTTCATTTTCCCAACATTGAACAAATACAATTCTTACTACTATTATTACATACAAATTAGATATACACATCCTCTTCATATTTTTCTACTGTTATACAAATAACAATAGTATCAATTTATAATAGCTTTTCTAAACACTTTATATTTAAATTGTATTTGCAATTAAAGTCTCCTTATTAAATCAGTGTCCAGTTTTTCAACCTCTTATTTAAGTTTAATTTCCCATAAGTATTCAAAATATCTTTGTCACTTATGAAAAAATTTTCTTAAAATTAGTTACATTTGTGTAGCCGGAAATTTCATTTATACAAGGTACCCTAGTGTTTTTATAATTCCCATATCAAAAGAAAAGGTACTATTCTAATTATAAATCATATCTTTCTTATTATAAAAATTTATTTATATCTATGGGTTATCTATTCTTTTGACCATATTCAAAAAAATATTGGCTCATATAATACCCCATCTGGTATGTCAGATCTTCTGCTTTTTGAGTCTAACTCTAGCTTTCTTCCTTTGCCAATTGGCTTTCCAGGCCAAAGTAATTAAATCACCAAAAAAGTCTTCTTCTGTTTTTGTGAATATTGCTTGGGATGGGAAAAACAATTTAAGTAGGGTATTTTTGAGGGGAAATTCTGCCCAGTTTTAATCATTAAGCAACTTGTACTTTCCTTCTCCCTCAGCTTCTCTTTTCATTTTTTGTCTCCCAATTTCTGGCATTTCCCCTAACAGCTTTATAATCCGTTTTTTAAAATATCCTTCCTTATCCTCAGGTATATTTTGAAAACCTAAAGAATAGGGTGCCTTTTCCATTTCCCTTGTTGTAACTAAGTCTTGCAGATTTTTATTTGTCTATGCCAATTTATGTTTCCTTTATTTTATATCTTGTGTCTTTGGATTAATTTCCTCTGATTTGTCTTCTGTTTTCTGACTTATTTGTTCATTCTTTGTAGTCATTTTCTGGGAACTTTCTAGTTGTAAGTTTAAGCTAGAGATTTGCTTATTTATATTATCAAAATTGTTTTTAATTTCATCATGGTTTCTTCTTGCATCTTCTTTATGTGAAATAATCGTCTCCTGAATTAATTGTAACATAGAATGTATTTCCTTCTGGAAAATATTTACTTCTTCTTGAGGCATCACTCCTGCAGATCCCTGGTAAACCTGGCTGGGGGCTTCAGTTGAGAGTATTATGTTTTCCTACCACTTTTGGCTAGATATAAAGGATCCATTTTATTTCCCTCCTCCAGATATTCTGTCAGAACTGTTGTGATCCCCAAATACTACTCATGTCTAATACCACTAATCTTAATGCCCATAGAACAACGTGTCATCTAGTTCTTCTAATCTTTATATATAGCCTTTATAATCCAATAGGTTCCAGGATATAAGTCCTCCACTGAAAGCAATATTTTGTAATAGTCCTTCTGCTCAGGCATCCAGAAAATGTCAGTCAGCCGAAGTTTACAATCCAAAATGTTCAAAGTGTTCAAAATGTTCAACCACCCTAAGAACAGTCCAAAAACCTCCCCCAGACAAACGTAGCCAAAAGTCAAATGTTTCTTTCTCTTCAAATAATTCTTAATATTAAAAATCAGAGCTCAGTATATGTTTATAATCCAAGAAGTTCAACAGGTTTCAAAACAATTAAGTTCTCACACTGTAGTAAGTATGCCAAAATATTTTTCTCTGTTGCCAGCTGTTCTTTGTTGAGCTAAAAGTCACCAAACAACAAAGAAGCTAGGTTGTTATCTATTTCTAGGCATCTTGCCAGGTCTGTATCAGTCATTGCAGCTGTGGTGCTATACTCTAATCTGCCACTAGATGTCATTCAATATCCATTTTCCGACTCTTAAAACAGAAGGTTGATTTCTTGTTTTTCACACCAGTATTGTTTCAAAGAGAAAATCTTAACAATTTTCTCAGTTCTCAAATTTATCAAAACTATAGTTTTATATTACTTCCACTTCAGTGATAAATATTTCTGTCCCCCATAAAAAAATTAAAATGCCGCTTCCATTCCTCTGGAAGGGTGGGGCTACAATCCTGTTCCTTCTTGCGTTTGTAGGTTTTTAGCTTCTTGGGAGCCTTTTCCAGGAAATCCAGTTGTAAAATAGTAAAAAAGGGATCAATATTCTCACCCAGTTCCAAACACGCTGTTTATGATCTGCTAATTAGTGCTTTCTTTCTTCAGTTGTCAGTAGCTGGAGGCTGGCCACAGGAATCCAGCCAGTCTTTCCCCTGCCGGTTCTGAGGGATTTCCTCAGATCAAACAGATTGACCACTGTTTCTCCGTGATCGACAAGGCATCCCTCCTTCTTCATCGCCTCTTCGGGGCAATTTTAGGCCCTTTTAGAGGCCCCAGCAGCCAAAATCAGGCATGGAAAGCAGAGCCCTGCCTTGCTGCGTCCGTGTCAGTACGACGCCAAACCGGAAGTTGTGTCATCTGCAAATTTGATGAGTTCCCCTTCTATCTGTTTTTGACAAACCTGTGCTGGCTACTGGTTATAACTTTGCTTCTAGTTGTTTGCAGATCTGTTTTTTGATTATCTTTTCCAGAATCTTCCCAGGTATTGATGTTAGACTGATTGGTCTGTAGTTTCCTGGTTTTTTTTTTCTTTCTTGAAGATGGGAACCACATCAGCCTTTT